ATGATTATACACATGGACCTCACCAAATGGAATACACAGAAATCAAATTTACTACATTTTCAGAAGGAAAGAGATGATGGAAAAGCTCTATATCATCAGTCAAAACAAGGCCAGGGGCAGATTGTGGAACAGACCATCAGTTGCTCATAATCAAATTCAAACTGAAGCTAAGAAAATGAAAACAAATCCTGGTGCCTTATTCTTTGCCAATTCCTTCAACATACCTTGGAGTTCTTCCTTCTGGATTGTTGGCTCTTGATCATATGCTACCTCCTGAAGTGGTTGAACATTGATCATTTCCTTTTGGTACAGTGACTCTATGTATTCCTTCCATATTTTTTTGATGCTTTTTGCATCAAGAGTAATTTGCCTAGAGAATCCTTCAATAAGCCTAATTGAAGCTTGGATATTTTTCTTCAGTTCCTTCAGCTTGAGAAATGCTGAGTGTTTTCTTCCCTTTTGGTTTTTTGACTGCAGATCTTTGCACATTTCATTGTAATATTTGACTTTGTCTTCTTGAGTTGCCATTGAAATTTTCTGTTCAGCTCTTGTACCTCATTTCTTCCATTTGCTTTAGCATCTCTATGCTGGAGAGCAAGTTTCAGAGTGTCGTCTGACATACATTTTGATCTTTTCCTTCTTTTTTGTCTTCTTTGTAACATTTTGTTTTCTTCCTGTATGATGTTCTTGCTGTCATCTCATCAAGATGGGATGTATGTATGCTATACAGATACATATATATGTTCATGTGTTTACTAACTTACCGCATATTAACTAAAATTAAAGCTGAACTTAATTTTTTAAAACTTTGCTGTGTTTGTATTCTATTAGATATTTTACCTGAATGCTATAAGAGAAAATCAGGAGTTTGTATCTGAGATTTGATGGGTCCAGAGTTCCCATTACCCTCATATTTCCATAGCAATCACTGCAACCAGATTGATCAATAACTAAATAATGCTGACATGGATTTTTATACTTCCCACTAGGGGTAGTGTTGATCTTAGAATT